AGGTGTATATAGGCACACCTGTATCCGTCACAAGGACCCAAGCCAAAAAAGACTGTATCTAAAATATATGGTCGTACTCGGTACGTTCAGCCTGATATAATACATTGTTGTATACATTGAAAACACAGGAAGTTCGCGCAACAAGCTACTACTTGTGCGTCGGACCCACTGAACGGTAACTCCTTTTTTCCAATGAGTCTATCATTGCGTACTCATCATTATAAGCTATGTGTCTGCGCTCGTAAAAGTCAGCCAACTGGAATCCAGGCCGAAAGAGCCGTGGCTTTTAAATCGCCTAAGCAAAAACAAGCTAGTTCGATAAAGCCGTATTACTAATAGCTTATGAATTCCGTTTTCATTTAATTATCGACCTGGACCTATAAAAATCATCTGGACCGATATTAATGGGCTATTTTCTTTTAATATTTACTTATTAATTAAACTGCTAATTGACGATCAGTATTTTAAGGAATGATGAAACTGACTGCATGATAATGACGATGTTGGTCACATGTCGATGCACGATACGGTGCTCTTCAAACGATGCGTACGTTTGTACGCATTACGCGTATTTTTCATTCACGTTTACCTCTTAAGTCGGTTAAAGACGGCCTGACCGCGTGGTTAATCTAGATGAGCGTCTTGTCAGCGGTAATCATGCGCAAATAAACATACAGGAATCCCTGGTCCAAATCTCAGCGCTCGTAAACATTGTGACTACAGAGAATAGTGTTACTACGCCGTTTTATAGGTTTTTTTGGAGAGTCCGGCAAAACCCATACCGCTCAAATCTCTAGTCGGGCAAGCCGTTGATGCCACCGCCTAGAAAATAATTTTGAAAACTCATTCATACTGCTGAAATATTTCGGAGCGTTAAAAAAATTAAGAGTAAGTTTATTGTTCTAAACGTCGCAGAGCAGACGATCCTGATATATGCTATAGCTTCAGACGATACCTGAGATACGTTGTACAATATGGAAACTGAATATAGACTAGGCGGGACTACACAGTGTAAGCACTTATTCTCAGGTATTACTACGCAGCTGTCGTCTGTTATATACGGCTACTTAAATTTATGACCAGTGCGTTGTTGGTCGTTAAAAGGGCCAGTTTGGGGTGCGTCAGGCCGGCGTTTCTGTGTTGCCCACAATTTTTCAGCTCGACAGATGCATATGTCCTTCGGATATTTCGCCCAACTAATGGCTAGTGGTAGTGGTAGTATTAGCGTATCCCATAATACCATCGATAAAGATACCTGTGAATTTGAAACTATGGAAAATTAAATCTCTAGACGTCCCTTGCGCTTTATCTCTTTGAGGATCCAATGACCAATTCTTTGTCGAGCCAAACGTCTGGTTCTGTCTTTACATGCTGTAACACTTATATTACGACGTACAGGACCAAAGGACGTTTGATTCGTGATCGGAGAAAGTCCTGCGGAGATTCCACCACCTAAAGACGATCCAGTAGTCAGAGATACCTCTCGTTGTTTCTTGAAGATATACCTACCTTCGGAAGATAGAAAACGGAAATCCTATACGAAGGCGGTGTCCATTGAGAGCAGTCGCATATAAAAAAAAGAAAAGCCAGAGAATGCTCCACCAAGTCAATTTGCTATACATGACTGCTAAGGTAGTACTAATCTTTATAATATTGCTATTGCACGTTACTTATACATCGCATTATATAACCCGTGATATCTGCTCGCTTGGCCAGCGCTCCTGTCAGGTCCGATCCGGTTAACCTTTTCAAAACCCGTACTAGGTATTACATATACAAAACGAAGATGATCGGTGGAAACCTTTCTGATAGGTATCAATTAAATGAATTAGTCATAAAACAGGCTAGGGATTAAATCCATGTCTCCCTGTAACACTATTGAGATCTGCGAACTTAGTATTGCGTCTAAGCTATTGTTGATTGATTTAAATAACCAGATTCGTTAGTATTAGACCCAGTTACGTAAAATATAGCACATGGCGACAGGCATCCTGCTACAATTAGCCTGTCCTGCCTAAAGCGTTATCTTTTCACTGCTTTCTTCATCCCGTTCTGATATGAAGTAATTAAATAGCAAAGACATGATTCAAACAATCTTGCTTCAGCGACTCTGTTGCATTGATGCAGTCATTCTATTACCTTGTCTGCATGATCGGTCACAGTCAGCATAACCTTCGCCTGCATCACAGTTACACTCTGGCAATAATCTTATTACTCTATTGAACTATTCTAGTGATTCCTTCATTTGTCATGTGTAGAGTTTGTCGGCCTCCTATTGCCGTTGGTCCGCTGTCACGATTAGCCTGCTCCAGGGGCGTAATTTGAACTATATCCGACCGAAGAAAGTATCGCTCGATTGAAGATTGACACGCTATAGTCGTTGCTTTCGATTCACCTAATTAACTAATTATTATTATTATTATTACTGTTATTTTGTTGCAATTATTTGATTATAGCTACCATAGAAGCTCACTGAATCAGGTTTTTCGCTTAGTGATTTTCTAATGCTCAGCCTGTGATTCCCTTCCCCCTAACCTTGGTGTAGTCGTCCTATTAATAGGTTGGTGATTAGAGTATGATTAGTTAACTCCGCCTTTATTTTAAAATATCCCAGTAACCTTTTTTCTTTGTTACAATTAATCCCGCAACCTGAAGAAACAATTGAGCTCGACTCCGAAATTGCATAACGAATTTACTTCACTTATACAAGAAAAGTTTACCTCGTGGCCCCACTCGAAGGCGTCACGCAGCTTACACCCCATACGCCTCTACAGTTATACCCGTTCCCCTATTGTAACATTGACAGCCTGTCACATTTTAAGCCGCTTCTTCCTTTCAAGTCTTTCTACCCTTGCAAAAAGACAAATAAGATGTCGAGACGTTTCACAAGCACTTTGCGAATAAAATAATAATAATAATAAACATTACACTTTTTTATATGGCAAAAAAACGCTCGTCAGAAGAATTGTGCATTTAACCAAAGAATATGATTCATATGACGGTAACAAAATTTATATTTCATTAATGTCCACCTATATCGGCAAATAGCATGTATCTATTTGTAAAGCTGAAAAAGAGGAACAACTGTTTAATATAGGTTAACGGATTACCACTCTAAACAATTTCGCAGCATAACCTTTCACGAGCTCTTAATAGTTGTCAAGAAAGTCGCAAAAGTCTCCTCACCTAATTGGCTTGACTGCGTCTTACGCATTGCTTTTTTTTCCTTCTTTATCCCAGAATAAGACTAGCATCTCTATAAAATTAGCTTAATATTGCCGCTTTGCGATGCGGATAAATACGCACGAGCAGGCAAACTGGTAGATGTGGTTTGTCCGCTGACGCTGGTCCTGTGACAGGACAAAATAATTTAATTAAATAGCCTTCTACCTAGACTAATCTAAATTAGTGTATACAGCAACAGTCATTGATTGTTCTGGCCTGCCTTTGTGTTTCAAGTTTAACGTCCGCTGCCGCTGTTGGCCATTCCATCAGACAGACGGCTGGCTCCCGGCACAAAACGTACACTGCCCGGGCTCGAACCTAGAGCACAGCGTGTCCCTACAATTAGCGGCCAAATACTTTTTACTAAGTTACTCACTAAGCTACCACGCGGACCGTTTATCTTACCTAACTATCAGTTTATAGAAAGCTGCGTTTTGGCAGTTATTTCATCGGCTTGTTCAGATACAGACAGATTGGATTTGCATTATACCTAACCTGGCCTAAATCATCGTTCAAATGCGATTGTATATATTTACAATAATTTAGTTGCGATTCTTGTAAAGTACTCTGCAACGCCAACTCTCTTATTCTGTTGCAGTGATTTTGATTCCCTCGTTCAGTGATTCTACGAGCTGCATTTACCCATGCATCCTGTTAGAACGTTGCAAAAAAATCCTGCGATTTTGCAGTTATTTATTCAGTCTGTTTTAATATCTTATTTGTGTTACACGTAATCTCGAGTATAAGTATATGCTTCATCTGACGCGGGTGCTGTTATAGACTTCTGTATTGGACACGTTTTACGCGAAGGAATATAACTTTAGTTAGATAGCAGATGACGTGTAAACAAATGTAAGGATAGAAATAAAATATAAGAAACAAAGCCTAGGTCCAATTATTTCTTCAGTTAAGCATAAATTCTACAGTTAATTAGTCTTCCTTGTGGTGAAATTACTAGTAGACCTCAACAGCATTTTTAGACCGCACTTATGGTTTATCCGATATTGATTTATATATATAGCATAGGATTTAGAGTCTTTAGGGGAGCTCTAAACCTGCCAACGTCCTTTTAGCCAAATCTTCGAGAGACGTTGTGTGACTACCCAAGGTGAATTAAGTGAATTCAGAAAATATCTATAATACTAATTGAAACTGAGCGTCTGTCTGCCGGGTTCAAACCCTCCCCCCTGTGTAATGGTCACTTTGAGTTGATTTTTTTTGCATGCGGCTAAACGTTCGTCTTGAGATGGGATATGAGTGAATTTGAGTCGATTTACTGGACGCTTTTGTCGGGAACGTAGTTTCGTTCTCTCATTCAGCGTAATTCTAGACTGAGAAGGGACGCTTCGTTCGGTAATTGCTGATAATGTCTCAAATGGTTACATTAAAAAGCTTTAGATGATAAATTAGCATCGAAATTTGGCGAAAGGTGTGTACCTTTTTCACGATGAAGGCCTTAAATGGGTTCTATACTGAAATTTTTGAGGAATGCTCTTTTACATTGCAGTGGAAATTGGACAACGGGGCAATAGGCGTAAAAAAAAGAGCGAAAAAAGTACCGACATTTCACAGGACAAAGATTACAAGAACGTTTTAATGGTACAACAAGGTTGCCTTCCACAATTCGGCTTTGTGTTCACTCCACATGTTTCAGTCATTGTCTTTAGAGTTATCTCCATCGGGCTTGTGACAGGTAACCATAGTTTTTCCTGTAGTCAAAACAGGTCAAGCGCTACAGCGTAAGCACAAAATTTTACTGAAAAAAAAAATGTAATTTTTCCACTTTCTAGTGTAATTGTAGATTTGCCAAAATTGTTCAAAACTGAAGATCAATAAAAAAAAGACGGGACACATTTCCATAGAGGCATGGGATTATTTTCATGGGATAATTATAGACATGAAACTGCGAGTTGTCGGATATGATCAATTATTTTGACAGGATCGTAACGTATAGCTACTAACAGAATTACCGAAGGACGCTGACTGGGTGAAGGAAATAGAGCAATGCCAGTGGCGCAGCTGAACTGAATAGTAGTAGAACCGGTGCCGGCAAACATATCCCATCGTCGATTCACCATCATATAAATCGAAAAATTACAAATAGAGGATAAATCTGGAGATCCGGAACTTGCAAGAGCCGCAATGATTGGTCGTTTATTTGAAACCGAACATGAATGAATCATACCAGTGTGTTTATAAACGATGTTCTTTTAGATTCCATTCAACATCAATCCTCATTACGTTGATGCTGATCCGTCAAGCAAGCATATGAGCGAATCTCGGGAAAAACGCATCCAGGAGTATCTTGAACAAGGTTCCGGAAGAAAAGTGTTAGGTTAGTTTGTTAGTGAAGGAATTTAGGTCAGTTACCTTTTACACTGTATATAGCATATTTGTAACATATGCTTAAAGGTGTTTTCAGCCAAAAGTCGATTACTCATAAATAGCTCTCAATAACAAAGCAACAAGTTAAAATTAAAAAAAACTGAATATGGAACACTTGCATTCACGTACAATACGATCTATTCATATTTCTGTCATGTTACACTACGCAGTTGATGAGTTTTAACTTAGTAGATATGTTCAAACAATATTTTGACTTGAATTTTTTTTTACAGGCATCTATGAGGGTGTCCTTATAGAAGTGGAGGGTGATCGAGCGACCCTCAGAGGCGAGCGAGGTGGAAAAGTTTTTGTTAAGTGTAAAGCGGAACCCGATGCTATCCAAGGAAATTCGGATATCAGCTTTTTGCTCAAGAATTAACGATTCTAATGGCAATCAATGTGCCCATAGACGCATCGGGCTTGACTGTTAATTACTACTATTACTAAGTTTCGCCGCGGAAATAAAAATAACTGTTTCCTAAGACATGTACTATTCATTCTGACATCTGTTAAGCGAAAATTTTATGAAGACCGATAGGTAAAATTTCGTAGCGTTTCGCACGACGATTTAGGCACACAGGCAGACAAGCTTGCATGCAAACATTAGTTAGCGACATCTAAAGTAGAAATTCTTATCCTTCTATCATAGCTGAATATCAACCTGAGGGTTGCCCCTCTAAGTTACCACAATTTAGTTGAATATTTGTCATGGATCTAAAAAATCAGCGCATATTTTAATAAGCGACTTTTTTATAAAGTAACTTTGCGAAAATTAATGCCACGCCTCGACGTTGCGTCACCTTGCTAAGAATAAGTGGATTATGTTCAAGAGGCTATAGTGGTAAAGTCAAAAAATAAAGTGATGATACGTGGATTGGCGTACAGTGAATGCTATAGAAATCGACTAAATAGATGTTCAGCACGCTCATCATCATATCCATATTTTTCGATCGTATCTTTCGAATAGAATAGATGTAGCTCTATTTAAATTTACAGAAGTTTAAAAGAGACCCGCTAGTTTTGAGATTAGAGTACTAACATCGCTTCCTTTAGTTCTTTCATTCGCTGATTCGTCGCCTTACAGGCCGACCACCAATCAATTCCTGCTCAAATGTAAATGTTGACTTGGCCCGAATATATCACGGTACCTGAACGCTGTAAGTCTTTGTAAGACGCTCTCACTTCATCCTTGGAAGGAAATCCATATTTGTTTGCATGCTGGTCTAGCGGCATAGGCGGACGCCCGACCGCTCGTCCTTCCGCCACCCTCCGCTCAGTTCCCATAGGATGCGTTCAAGCTTGTTTTGCTTGGTGCTTACCCACCGTCTGCGGGTCGGTATCGCGCATTGAGTTCTGCTGCTTCTCTGCTATGGACTTTCCTAGTGCTGATAGTGGCTAGCGACCGCAGACACCAGGTAGCACTGCTTTCATTCAGCATAAACAAATGACGAAAAATCGTAACGCCCGTAAAAATAGCAAACGTAAAACTTCACCATGTAATCCAAAAGGTGACGAGCAACTATTGAGGTTTGCATTGAGCAGTGGACAATCAATAGAAATTCGATCGTCGGAAAAGTTACAAGCGACTCGGTTATGCGGTGAAAGCCCGGACCATCCAGATTTCACCCTCTGTGACCTAATTTTCGATGCAACCTCTTCACGGATTTGCCTACCCAGAGAACTCTGGGACAATGGTAGGTTATCTGCGATGAGAAAAAAAGCAGGAAAATCGATTGCAAATCCAATAAAAGATAGCTAGCGGACAGCCAAAAGTCTATTAGTAACCACTGATTGCACCGGCGGCTAGAGCCTGCCGTGCAATAACAGGCTCAAAATAAGATCAGTCGTTAGTTACCCTCCTCCTCGGACGCCGGTTAAATGGCCGCTACATTTTAATGGTAGGTTTCAGTATGTTTCGTGTTATAATTACCATTAATGTGCGACGAAGTTACTGCTTTGAAGACGTATTTTTCGTTTCTAAATATTGTAACCAGCTAAGGTCTTTGAAGCGTTTGGCGGTAGGCCCATTATTATTGTTCTGTATCTGTAGATGCCTCTTCTGCTTTATTGTGACAATGGGTTGTGACTGTAAACTCGCCAAAAAAACTAGCTGTCGATGTTGTCTTTCTGATGGCAGGCACAAAATGTTTCGGGCAGTTGCTCAATAGTGCTTTGTGTCCTAAAAATTTTAATGGATTGATACACTGCTGCTTGCATAGGTGAAAGTCTATAAAGGAGATGATGCTATAAGAGTTGATGCTTTTCCGTCGAGTAAAATGTATAATGGGTTTTATTTAACAAAACTTCAATGATTACGTACGCGGCAGCTAATAGAGAGTGCGTCCATTTAGCCCTTAGCAATGGCCGGGAATTTCGTGGTTCGGTCGACGTCTATCATAAAACAAACAGCGTCGTTCAAGCTTGAGCGGAATCGCAGTACTTCGGCAGCTGATACAGTTACTGCTGCTCCTGCTGCCGCCGCTGTTGCCCTTCTGTAACATTGCCCTGCGCGCAGTCAGAGCCAGAGGATCGCAAAGTACACGCACCGATAAAGGCAGAGTGAGAGTGAAAGGACATCGGTAGTGTTTCTAAATGTTGCTTTACTTCATTGTTGTCGATATGGAACACAGTAAAAAACAGATACATACAATAGTGTGTGTCACGCAACTAACATGCCGGCGTAAGACGGTAGCTAATTACCATACCGATCTCGGCCCATGAACATCACGACGCTGATAATACTTGTAGTCATTGTAGGTAAAAAGGTTTTGAATAGGCCAAACAAGCGAAGTGCGGCATCGTATAGGTGACAATAGTCTTTTGGTCCAGATCAGTCCTATCGGCGTAGCTGTGGTGTGACATGCAGGTCTAAGAACAAAATAGTAACTAAACGAGCTTGATTCGAATCTGTTGACAGATAAATACGGGTAGATAGCAGAGCTAATAGGAGGCTAGGATCTGATATCGGCCGTGATGGCTATGCCTAGCTTATTCAAGCAGAGGGTATCGATCGTCGAGTTACTTTTGGGCCGGACATAGTAACTTAGCTAGTAAAAGGGCAAAGTACTCAAGCTGAATAAACTCTCTGTGTTTCTGGAGCAGAAAATAAGCTTTCGAAATCACTGGTTTACCTCGGTACAGCGATCTAGTAAAGTAGTAATGGTCGATTGTCACAGAAAACTTCTTACTAACTGGCTGTTGACTCTACTGCTCTAGCAGCCACATGCCTATTGAATCTGAATCCAGTAGACGTCTCACTGGTGAATACAATATGAGTACGGTTTTAATAGTACATCGGAACATACTAAGCTTCTTAATTCCGCGTTGGTAACAACTCACAGGTTCACGAAAATGAGCGATCCAACACTGCTCCTTGAGGATATGATCACCAATTAAAATATAATAAAAAAAAAACCAAAGTATTAAAAATCGGAATAAGCATAACTTTATACCGCAACAGTCAACAGAGTTAAAACTGTTTAAGTTCACCCAGCTATTATTCGAGAATCTTTTAGCCTGTAAGCTGCCAACTATAGATTGCTTTAAAAGTAGAGTTAGGACTCTACAAATTGGGATGTCTTTCGTCAACTTACTATCAAAACTTACAGGTGATTAGTCATTAATATGCTCAACTTGTGGCAGGCATTTGGCGTGTTTCGATTTAACGGGTTTCTCGTCAGAAACAGCGACGAGAACCGTTAGTGCGCGCAGGCAGATGGTTCTGGCTTATCGGATTTGGAAATACCACTGCACTAAACGATTATTCCAGATGTAATACTGATGTATAAATCTATCTATATACAACAACCGGATTGGCCCGTTTAAAGTGCCGATTTACGCTGATCTCATTTGGGTCGCGAGAAAAAAGCCCTAGAAAGAGCAGCGTATAAGGTGGAAAGTTGGCCGGACGAATACTTTTCCGGGCCTACTTTCTTTTCCTCATTGGTAGTAATGTTGATTTGGGCTAGTTGACTATTTTTGGCGAATTGCTCAACAATTGTTTAGAACTTCCAAAAATTGTATATTGGAATGTTGTTTCTTTTTTAAACTCTGTAAAACCGGCGCAACACTAAAAACATTGTACAAACTGTGGACTTTTTGCCGTTATGTAGTGCTAAGTTGATGTTCATATAAATAATTCATAACTGATAAAATATTAACTATATAAGTTCATTGTTGTCAAGTGTGCGAATGCTTTTTTCCTGGGGCAGCTTCCCTTTCCCATCATGGGGTTTATTTAATGCCTCGGTTCGTTTGTGAAAAAGCTAAGGCAATTTATGTTCCATATGAGCTCGTCTTATTACACTATTATTATATATAAAGGAGGGTTTTTTTTGTTCTATAAAACGTAATGTTAATTTATATAGCTTAAGCTCTCCTGCGATTTGCTGTACAACTATTAAGTATTCGCGACATATTTGTATCGAAGATTTATTTGTTCCTTCAAGCAGTGTGGGCTTTAGGGGCTGATTTTTAGTTAACTTTTTACTTTTCAATTTCACGCTTACCTGGATAGTTCATAGTGAATGCAACATGAATTGCCACGGTAGATATTATTTGAGTCTAGGAATATTTTTTCCCGATTATTTCTTTGTCTTATAGGAGGCAAATGCTAATGTGATCCTCCCAATGTATTTGTTACAGCCAGTGGTGTCTGTCTGTCGGTTAGAAAATGTCCGTCAGTGTTTTTGATTTTTGCTTTTTTAGGACAATTTTTTGTCGGAATCTTTTATACATATCTAGGTTATCCAGGGGCTGCGATAGGCTATATTTTGGAGAAACTTCCGTCAAAATATGGTTTCTTCTAATAAATGGATAGCTAAACGTTTACATGGAGATCTGTATACAGAGGAGCCATTTTAAATATTAGTCAAAAGCTCTGACAAAGTTGAATCAAGGATTTTTGAAGGGCCCTCAAACGGGCGAAAACTTGGTGCTCTATGCGGGGAGGGAATTATTGATATTAATCAATAGATATCGGCAAGCTGAGTAAAAAAGTAGTACATATTGGTACACGCAAAATAAATATTCCATTGTAGAAATTGTCAAAAACCTATAGAAGGGATCGTCTCGCTCACGTGACAGTAGGATAAGAGAACGTTTTGAGTTGAAGTGTCAATTCTAGCGGTTGACGCGGCGAATATTTTAGCTATTGATATTTTTGCAGAAGTATCTTTTAAAAAAGTTCCTGAAAAATACCAAAATATCGAAAATATATTTTTCAGTAAAAACAGTGAAAAAAAAAGAAACCCTATTGGATAAGAATGTGTTTTGATTTCTAATAAATGTCAACTGAAGAATTGAAGCAGTTTATTTTCCGGGAAAAACTGCCAAAATATCGAAGAAATATTTGTTAACAAAAAATTGTTACAGATTAGCTTCTGAGATGCCTTTGAGACAAAGTCATTATATACACAGGACGAAACATTATATATATGTATACTATATTTTTTCTTTTTTGTTCATTTTGTATAATAGATACCAGTTATTGTAAAAAGATAAGTATAAAACTCCAATCAAAATATATGGATTTAGATATATTCCTTATCTTAACATTATAAAAAAGATTCCGATGTTTATGTATATGGTATGTGTAAAGAACTCTGGTAAAGATAATCAAAAAGATTTAAATAAATATTAAACAAAACTTAAAATGGAATCGACATGTTGGTAATCGTAAACGTCTGTTGGAAGTCTGCAGACGGGCGACTTGATTCACACATATCCTTTTTTTTTTGGAGGTTAACGGCAAATGCATTATGCAGACCGGACATCATTGACTGTGCTATTATGTGCCTCCTGGACACATGATCAGTTAGTAGAAACAAAAGTTAAATCTGAAAACACCAAAAACCATCATACCAAGAACCAAATAGACCTGGGGTTGGCTGGGTTTTCTGGCGAACATATTAGAACAGACCTTTGAATAATTCCAAAATAGTAACGCATTGGATCAGACAGGGTAATTGTAACGAGATAATTGTTGATTTACTTTTTAGGGTATGTTAGGTTGGGTGTAATACAAAGTCAAATTATTTAGATTAATGGCAAAATATATGCGCGAGGCGAACCCCGCAGGTCCGTCTACTGAGACATAGCTATACAGCGCGCTTTTGTTTGCTGATCGTATTCTAAACTGGAATATTAGCTAAATAATAAAAAGATGATCTCGGATGACCGACTGACGACAAATTATGGCGTTGGCCACATTAATTTCATTTACGATACATAGGTAGCCGGATTCGCCTGTTGTGTGAATGATCAGACGAGAAAAAACGAGTTAAATATAGCCGAAAAGACTAACGTTGACGAAAAACCCAGCTGCGAGTCGCACCTCGTACCAGTCGATGTATATCGTTTAGAGAGTATTGCAGATTCTAATTTTAATTTGAGAACTCGATTTACAGAATATCTACCTTTTGTTATTTGCAATTTATTTTCAAATTATAGTAGTTAACGGTCACCTACTCAAATCCTGTCCTACGGAACGTTTCGTTGAGTACATTGGTAATTAAATATGCTATCTATTGACAGGTGACACAAAACGAGTGTGCTGAATGGATTGGATTAAAGGCTGAGCGAACGCTCTGAATTACAAAAAATATCCTAATAGAACCTATTATGTGCTATACAATGGTAATCGCCAAACAACGCAAGTGATATTCAGCTGTAACCGTACCGTAAGCCGTAACAGAGAATGGGCACAACGTAATTCATTTCGGCATTTCTGGGGCAGTCAACCCTGTAGTATGGCTTACTAGGAGACATTGCATCTCAGTTCACTTCCATTGCCCCAGTGTATTAGTCGAGTCTTGAAGCTGCCGTGTTGAACTGACAGTGGCACTAACCGCAGGGTCCAATTACTAAGGACGCTCCCGTATACGTAACGTAAAGACAAATGCATAATGAGCTCGCAGTTCAAAGTTTTCTATAGTGCTTATACACAATAGTACAGTTATTGCTCGCAACATGAGACTAAAAGAGTCTCGTGATAGCATGTAGCAAAGAATGGATATACAATCTACTGTTTAAAGTGGAACCCTGTAGATTATAATACTGATTTAAGATTTGACATTTGCCCATATGAATATCAAAGCTATTGATCAGGACGATCCCTATCAGTACGTGACCTTTCCGGCTACGAGTTTGGCTCATTGCAGGACAGGCTTATGATAACCTAGTTTTAGGTGAATCATAATTAGTCTACAGCGCTTAATAGATTGTGTATTTCTAAAACTGTTTTCAGTTTATCCATTTGTGGGTCTATTGCCAATTTGACTCGTTTGGTTTCTTATTCGTACCATCATTACACTTTGTTGTTACAGAGCTGGTCGAGTCGGTTTCGTCTTCATTGCTGCATCTGCTATTTGGTGTCCAAGATGCGACATCGGACGCCAGCGAACGAAACCCGCCGACGCCGCGTGAAGCTTTGCATGCTGTTCCCTGGCTAATTAGCGGGAGGCACGCCATACTTCTACCTGAAGATGGTAGACCTTGCCTTGTAGCAGATCTGAGCACCGATGGAGGTTAGCAAATGGATGAAGCTGTTATAACTAAGCCCGATGGCAATTGACAGGCTGACCACAATGTCGCTTCATCTTATGACCTGTACTTCGCATTTGGCTCATGTCAAATTAAACATTGATTTATAACCTATGTGCTACCGGAAGAATGTTTATCGAAAAATTTTTATATCGGAACTACTATTGTAATATGTAATATAGTCACAGTTAACTTTCAATATGTTTTATCAAAGAAACACAAGGTTATTGGCGAAATTCGCGGTTGTCTACCAAGATAAGCATTTCTTCAGAATATATATGAAACTATACTACACAATGGCTGCTTTCCGAGACAGACAGTTAATGAAAACACAACACAAAAAGTGCATAGTTACCCTATATTCGTTTGAGGAGGTGCAATATAACGTACACCGTGTTCTGCTATTTTGTTTCAGATCATAGTGATCATAACGGGGCGCTGTCGCTCCAAGAAGCCGTTCCACTGAAAAAATGCCGCCTTCCACGTTTCGCGGTCCATCAGACGATGGCGACCCTCACGTTGGTTTTCTATGTTCAGAACTTTGATAGAAACTCTCTAGCCGTTACATTTTGCAATTGCAACTCGTTGTTACGTATCGAGTTTTGGTAAGTACTTTGATACAAATCCATGGCTGAATATGAACGCAGCTATCTGCACTACATACTCCATTAGCGTTTGTGCGATAAGTTACCTAGTAAATAAGCGCCCTGTCAAGTATTTTCTATTGCTTATGTCTTACTTGTTAATTCGTTTATTATTAGATTTATTAGGCTGACGCAAAACACTTCGGCGGACTTTGGAATTGAGAAACTTTTCAACCAGCTGGACTAGAATGGTAATTTTTTATTGTGTGTAGGTGGTACTATCCTTTATTTTTTATACGGCGCCCGGCCAGCCAAACATCTACCATTTGCGCTTTCATAAAAAGTGTATTTATCTACAGTTTTCCGAAATCAATCGACACTGAAATATGCTTGCCTTTTTAGTTGTCCTTTCTAGAGTATGTAAAACCTTGTAATTGTAGATCTGGTAAATAAGCGGGTTCAAGTTAACTCTGGGCACAAATCCAGTAAATAATTGAGGCGTGGCGATAAGTTCTGGCATTATCATCAAGTGACCAGATTGTAATGCCAGCGATCTATGAGTTTCTTTGAGGAATTCGAGACAACAGGCTGCATACATTGTTTAGATGAGCATCTTACGCCTCTGATTTCATCGACGTCTTGCCATCACTTTATGTCCAAACTTCTTTGATAGGGCTAGCAAATTTGATGCCATTCTTTCACTTGGCCCCTTTTCGATTGTGGGTAAAGTTTGTTGATCGGTTGACTATATTTCTGTATAACATCAGAATTGAAAGGCCAGTTTTAGCCGATAGAGCTCTCAGAGTCCAAACACTGCTCTGTTCTTATCTTCGGGTCCTGACATTTAGTCACATCGTCGCTCGTCTCGCACGTTTGTACCATTTTCGTACTGGAGCATGTACCAGAAAATGTTTGTCTGCTAGTGACACATAGTTCAAAAGTTACTGACTTTCAGATTCCGCCGAGCGCGCTTGCAACAGCTTCATTATTATACATGTTTTCCTCTATCTGGGGACGATCTAGATTTAATTAGCGCAAACGCTGAATTATGCTCTCTGTGAAATGTTTGCAAATTGGCGATAAAATAAACCTTGCTATAAAGGGAAGCCAACTGATTCAGACCAGTATAACATTTCTGTTTGTCTACTTCAGCTTAGACAGTGAGTTCCACACGACATACCGTGTTGTTCTCGGCCATCCGTCGCTTGAAAACGCACTCATGTTTCCGCAGAGCGTCCGGGCTGAGGTGCACCGTGATTCTGCGTTCATTCTGTATATAGACAAGGCTGAAGGCGAGCATGTGCTGTGGACGGAAATGCTGGTAGGGGCTGGCGGCACATCGACCCTTAACCACTACTCTCTTGTCGATGATAACGTTGATGATAAGGTTAATTGCGCTCTCGATCATTCTTAGCTCCTCGATACGTTATTTTGCTCTATTTCATGTTTTTTTTTTGCTTAACTGTGGAACTCCCATCTATTTCTCTCAAGGTCTCAATTAAATTAGTAAATATACTCACTTTCAAAAGATTATCTTCTAACTAAAAAGAAGAAACTTTCTGAAAGAAGTGTTTTTGTTGATGTAGTTGTTTGTTGAGGAATAGAGGTTTTGTTTGTTAGATATATCTGGTTTAAGATTTTTCAAAATAAAGTGAATTTAGGCTGTATCGATAGCGTTGTGCCGCCGAATATTATCGCTAATTTGGAATTTTATTACATGACTTAATGGTTTTAGTCGTACACTTACCGTTCAATTTTGCGTCTTAATGGCAGATTTGTGATACATGCACAACACACCCTGCTCGAAGTATGAGTGAAGGAAGCAGTGGCGATTCGGAAATAGCGAGGCCTACGTTAGAAAGGCGATTTAGCGCACCCTGTGAACCTCTATCCCTATGTCCTCCATCTCCAGATCGAGTCTTGGGTAGGGGAATTCTCAAAAACCGTCGATTATGCTCGCGAACGCTAAGCGAATGTTCAAGGTCACTAGAATTCAGCTCATGGGATATTTCTGAAAGTCTACGAAGTTCGTCGACCTCGACAATGCACATCGATGACGTTAAAAGAGTCACATTCAATAACAAGGTTCTAGAGACCAAGTATAGGTTAGTAAAAGGTGTACGTTCAGCATTTTAAAATGAGTGTTAGTGAACCAATTATACTACAATACTAATTTCGACTTCGGATTATTATAGAAAAATTAATGCAACACGCTATCGAAAACGTGTGTGCCGTGCGATAGGATTCGGAAACCTGAGCCTTGTCTTACCGATAGCATTTTGTGTTCTTTAAGACCTGAAGGAATATCAATAAAACGACGAACTCAGCGCACCAGATCGCTATCAGATTCATCGGATCCGGACGAGTCAGAAGAGACCGATTCTATCTGTGGTGATCTCAGGGAGGGCCTAACCTTGAGAACATCGGTGATTGCTCAGTCCAAGGAACGTGGACATGCTCTACACGTAAAGGAAGACCAGTTTCTCCTTGAGATGGACGACAAATAGCTCTGCTTATCAAGGCCAATCTGCAGTTAAAAAAAAACACAAGATGCCCTTAGAAACCACCTGATGGACAATGGGCCCATGGTGTTTGCAATGGGACGATCTCTACAGGACCAACAAGGGCCGCGTGCTCTCCGGGAATTCTCACTTATATATGTGGCCCGACCTGTGGCCCGCCATATACAGAATTAAATTTTTTCTACAATATAGCGTTAATATATTCGGGTGTGAGAAACCCTTTTTACGAAATATATGTTGGTGTTCATTGAATCTTCAGGCTAGGCAGGAACTGAAGGTATATGCTTTTAAAGAGTTTGTTGTTTCGTATTGCTTTAAGCAGCGATCTATCAGAGAGCCCTAATAGATTTCTCCGGGAACATAAGGGATATAATGAATATATGATAGCAGCCTTACGTGCCCTGTATGGAATCATAGGGCACTATACAGATCGGCTTAAGCTCGAGCCGCGGCTCAAAGCTGCGCTCTTTATTTTAATAATCATTTAATCGGAATCATATTTTCGCCATAGAGAGCTTCCCCATTTGTCAAAAAGTCTATCCCGTGGCGAGTGATAATGAACATATTAAAATTCTATAATAGGAAAACAGATATTACTTAAGAGGTAACAGAAAAGAATGTCGACCCATTAATTAAATGAAAATGGTATCGTCACACACCTACATACAACTGAACATAATGGGTCCGATTATATACAAACCGATATAAGATACAGTATACAGATATTGTACAATCACCTTCAGTACAAAGTATGCGACGTCCAGCGTAAAAACCTGGGTCGAGAATGAACGCCCGTTCGTAATAAGTGATTCGATATTACTATTGTTTAGATGATTGCTTTATTGCTTTTATTGCTTTTTTATTTATCATTATTGCTACTTAAGACTTTCATATACACTTAGGATAAGTTTACACTCGACGCACCAGCGGGTATTATGTGTTTATTAAATATGTTTAGTTTGACCGGATAAATTTGCCTATTTATTATTATTATTATACTTGCATCCATGCTTTTTTCATCATGAGTTCTTCAGATGTGAAACGTCTACAAGTTCATAGATTAGTTAGTTATTCCAGTAAATTGAATACTGTTTGTCTGATACAACTTAACCGTAAATATTCTATTTATAAAAACTAATCTGACCGAACTTCTAAGCAGTAACTCTAACGAAACGTTTGACGAGGCTGTTCGCGATAGAGAATCGTAAATGAGATAGTTTAAAAGTTACGAGCTACTCTTCCCTCTTAGGCAGTCCCTTCAGTTACGAGAAGACTATAGCAAAAATCCAAATGTAGTTCAAATACTGTAGCATTACACAGTTGTATACTATATATTTCCGAGTATTTTTCTCTATTTACATCAAGTGTCTGGAGTGTTACGCTATGATCAAGGATCCCACACTACCTGTCAACATGATGTCGTACAATCTATAGCTAAAGTACTTGTATGTATGTTAATGGGCTCGATTTCGACATTTTTCGTCTGAACAGCGTCAGCTCCGGTGGTGTTATGGCAAAGGAGCAATCACTACGTGTTGAATTCATAGCTAATCAGGGTTTTAGTTTGACAAAAGGCACCAGCTAGTTCATACGTCTCTCAATGAGACAGTGCGTTATGAAAATGAATCGATCGTTATTGGGTTAAAGTATGAGGTAACTTGAAACAAACTGCTACAGGTCGAAGCCCCTTATTAGACTAATATCTGCCATGCATGTTGTGCATGATTCAGTGATATATTAATAATTCAGATTTTTAATAGATTTTTCACTGTCATAAGCCAGTCGTGCTGCTTTATATTTTTTCATTTTGTTAATATACTGCCAATAAAGCCTCCTGTCAAACAGATCGTGTGAACTGTGCTTTCGTTTAGCAGCTGAACCAGTTACTGACAATACCTCAAATCTGTATGATTTTCAAATGAAATGTCCACTAAAAGGAAACAGTAAATTGGCCCGGGGAAGATCTATACACCTATAACACCTTTGCTAATTTATTAATTGATTAATTAAATAATAATTTAATAATATATTTCAAGGTAAAATAGCACTATACGCCGTCATTTGGCAAACTAGGGCAGTGCGTATTTAGTGATCTCCAACAGCTATCGTCGAACACTAGTCCAATATACTTTATATTGTTCCATAGGAAACGATTTGCCTTTTTACGTAAATGAATCTATTGTCGGCAAACGATTGAACGCATACGTAAAAAATTGTATTTTAAGCGATCAAAATTGCAATACAATATCTCTATCCATAGGCGTTTCCTCATCATAAACATTCCGGGTGATTTAGTTAAATTGTCTATCTGTATCTAACGTCTCAAAGTAGCCCAGTTTCTGTGGGCAGCAGTAATAAGCTCGAACAGCGTTTGCACTGCAATGAAGTCAGGGTTCCGTACCTGGGATACCTTGGCAGGTAGATATATATTCGGTTCAGCGGTCTAAAATCGATAGTTTGCAAGAAATATCGGCGACCACATTAGCATCGTAGCTTCGAAGCAGTAACCCCTCAACACTCGCAGTGGATCGCAAAATCCGTAATTGCCATGTTACAGCTATACAGTCGTAGAACTACGTCAATATCGTCAGAAAATACATAGTTAAATCGTTCCCACTGAGTCTTTATTGTCTACCTTCACCTCTAATCGACCAGTAAAAATGATGCTTTTTGAGACCTTATACGATATTTTAAAGCCACTCTTCTCGCTTCACTGACTAGTTTGGTGTACGATATGGCTAAATCGGTTGCTCGGTTATAATGAGCTGGTCTTTTTAGCCAATCAAGTAACCTGTGTTAATTCATCGAGCGATTTTATCAACAGGGCAAAACTGGTGCATTTCCCGATCTTAACTAATGCCACGGCGTATTATGTAGTATAGAAAGATTAATAACTGCGCCCGCTGGGCGAAACACCATACACACCTTTATCACTCAGCTACGAAAGGTGGTCTTTCATAATATAGAAACAAAAAGAGTTGCTCGCACTGGGGAGAAGTTCCATGACATATTTGCCAAATCCAATAGGATGTCTGAGACCTAATGTAAACATACCGCTTATGTATTTTTCAAATTGTGACTTCAATGCTCGTACGATACTTCGGCTTTATCTGATTTTAACACTCTATGGTCTAATTACGATGAAATAGTTATCACGCTATGGAAGCCCAATTCATTATAATATTGCTCAGAAAGCTTTGCTAGGTTAGACAATCGTCGAGGGCTTTGTAAGTTCGTTTGTCTCTCCACCTTCGCATAGAAATCAACATTTTGGGCTAAGGCAATATGGCCGTAAGTTATTGGGGACGGCTATCTGGTTGAACTCGCCTACAGAATGCATAGTGTGCTCCTAATCGTGGCTTCAACGACAGAAAAGACAGGAGTCGAGCTTTCTTCAATTTGACATCAGTGTTAGTAAACTGCCTGTAGACGTTCAGTGCATCGCGGTGATTGCGGCCAACCGAGTGCTGCAAGCATCTACTACTGAATTGCCTCTGTCATTATCTTTTATAATGTAAGGCATACGGTCAGGCCGTCGCGACAAACTCTTCTCACCTCTCGACATGAGGTTACTTCACTATGGATATTTTGCAATACTTTTTCCTTTTGTTCGAGACGCACTTGTACTTTTGAAGTCTGAGACGGTTCACTCAGATAGAACCTCTCGGGCTTTTAGCAGGCGAGCTGCATTGAGGTATGGATAATGAAAAAATTCGAGTAGTTTGTTTACGATGTAAGTTCCATTTTACAGCTCGTCGCATAAACCCTGTATTCGGTAAAGGCTATATCACGAGGGAAACCATGAGTCGTTGGTTCAAAAAATCGATGAGAGAATTTCGAATTCGAAATTGAATCTAGTAAAAGACCCCCTACGGGAGTAAATAACGACAAGTAGACTCTCGTACCCACGCTTCCTACAGTAGCAACATATGGGTATCATTTAAAGAGGATCTCACTGACAGTGCGCGACTAAACTAAAAAATATCGGAAAAATATAGTCTATTTTTTTACTAGCCCCATTGGCGGGCTAGTAACCGCCAATGATAGGAACTTAGCAATTTATGACCACCGGATTCATCGACTAAAGTATGGGATATGCCGACACATATCTAATAAACGGTTCGTTGTATGCTTGAAAACTATGTAAAAAGCTAAGTCACGGGCAATTTTGGTTAAATTTGAACATCTTTTGTGTTCTTTTTTATTATCATCGTTGTTGACTTAATAATATGCTAAAGTTATTTTACACATAGTTCGGACGGATTTTCAGCCTCAGATGTGAACTGGGCGTCTAACATAGGAAAATATGTCTATCGTTTTGATGCTCTACTCTATTTTGTGTATTAAAACGTTATTTTCATTCGACGTTTAAGAAAACGTTTAGAACGATAATGTCAGCTTGATTACTTCTACCCACCGTATGACATCAGTAACAGCGTATGACAGCCTGTTCATATTCGAAGATTGGTAAATGGCCTTAACTGGATAGCTACTGTATCACTGGACCTTCTAAAAAGTTGAGTATCAAGTTCCGTGCTTGCTATACATGAATTATTCGTACCCATACAAACAAATGTAGCGTTGTCTTATCTGGAAAATATTTGTTATGCACAGGAGTCTTCGTTAGAATAAGCAGACTGAATTTGACAAGCTAGCTTCTCTGACGTGTAACTTGGCATCCTACATTAAATCAGTGTAAATGATAAGATCACGTATACAGCTACACCTTTTTCGGGAAAGATCAGTTATAATTTTTAAAACATTTCTTAAATAAGACCTATACCCGCCGCCCTGAAGCTGCTGAACATGTAGTTATGAGAAGTGAATTTGTTTTTAGAGCCTAGAGAGCCGGAAGTTGTGAGGCGCTCCTGGCTGAAGGTTGGTCAAAGAAAAAAAATCTTGCAACGTAATTTAGTATTCAATGTACTAGAAATAAAAATAGAATTCATATGGAATCGATAGGATACTTAACAAGTTAAACAACATAACCCTGGTGAAATTTTAACGCCTTCGAAGATAGCGTTCATCAGATTTTTCATACCATATAGACATTTTTAGGGACTAAATTATGAGACTCACTGCAATTACATACAAAATGTGAGTATTTAAATTTTTCCACCAATTTTAAAGAAAATAAGCTACATATCCCAACACATTTTTTAGGATCGGTGCCACTTCGGCTATGTATTCTTCGTTTTATTCTGGTTCTCCTGCCTAACTTGAACTATTTCAAAATCTACAGGGGTCTATTACGTTTTTAATAAAATATGGTAAATCTTTCCGCGTCTACTCGGCTTTAGCAGTCTTTGGTGCTCTGTGGAATTCCCATAATAACGAACTAGGTAACATGTATTCCTGCTAAGGTCAGGGACATGTGGTGGTCTAGGTTCGAATCCGGGCGTAGCCACACTTCGTTTCGAGTTGGAAACATCCAGCTGTGTGAGGTAATGTCTAACGGTTTAAATACCAAACGTGAAACACTAAAAGGCAGAGACTCTAGAATTTTACGTAAACCAGACATAGTCTAAACAGATAGTGTTGTATCCTGGTTGTAGCTGTTTAACGCTCGGATCTGTGTTTACTTTTTCACAACACATCAGCGTATCGAACGCCTGTGTTCGAGCGTATGCGAGTTCTTTAAAACGAGATATTTTAACATATTTACTAGTTGTTATCTATTAATCTTACATAAACTTATACCCTAGAAAAAGGTTAAAATCGAAAAACAAGTACGGAGACACTTTCGCCATTGACAATATGTCGAGTCGTTACTACCCAATCTACCGTCGAGGTAATCCGCAGCTGCGCGTATTTTTGCCGAATTTCTTTATGAAGCTGGTTCGCAGCAAAGTCGATCATCCTCCAAATATTGTGCACTTTGTCGTCCCGGTACAAATGACACAGTTTGACGTTAAAAATTATCTCGAGAAGATCTACAGGGTTCCAGTAGCTCAAGTGGAAACCAAGATAGTTCTCGGTGACTTCAAAGCAGAGAAAACTAAAAGATATATGATCAAGGACGATGATTATCGACTGGCCACCGTTACCCTACCTGAGGGCTGTACCTTCAAATTTCCTACGCTGTTCCCCCCAGATAAGATTAGGAAAGCGACCGAGGATATGAGGAAACATCAACAGCAAGTCGACGAACATGAACGCACTTATCAGCGGGAAGATCCAAACAGACAACATGTGCCAAGTTGGTTCGCGCTATAGGATGCACCGATTCTTCAACCTCTGTTAGTAACTTCTACGATCGATTCGTGTATATTCAGTTAATCTATTTTATATTGGAGAGGGGTCATGTAATAATCAGTAGCTTGAACTATAATCATGAAGTAAAAAAAATTCTGTGGGAAAGAAAGGTTCAATATTTATAGATAAAGGCGCTGAATAAAGAAATGGTGCTGTGACCATACAGTAAGTAAATTGACGGGTAGTATTGCTTATATTGAGGTAAGTGCGTATTTTTATTCATAGATACTGTGATGGTCAAGGATGTTAGCAATAAACAGTTATTAGTCCTGATGCTATTAGGGTATGAAAGCATTAGCCTATTGTCAACCTCCGAACAACGCGTTCGTCTTTTATGAGGTGTCTTTGTGCATTTATAGATGTGTAGGGCTTATTTTTTAATGGTCACCTTACAGAAGGACAAAAAATTATGTATGTTATCACGTTGACCACTTCTGGCATATAATATCAATGGGCACGTCTTGCCAAGAATATCATTCTATCGTATGAAAGGTCCTATCTATTTATTTAATATAAATTTTAAAAATAATTTCGCGCTAATGTGTAAGCAAACTTTCGGGCACACATGAAATGCCATATGTTTTCACGCGAATTTATCTGTCAAACTGGCATTTAACCTTCTTTGATAGTTTTTTTTTTTTATAATTCGCTTTATAGAAAGCAAACTCGTACGCAAACTGTTGACATTCGTAAGCGTGGGTCCTTTTTAACAGATTTCCTCTACTAAATTCTCTTGGACCTCAAACGAGAGCAAACGTATATCGTACCAAGTTTTACTTGACTATAATTAAATTTTTTTTGACATCCCCGTAAATTTAAATGTTTAAAAAATGCGTACCAAAGATTTTGTGGTAGTAGGATTAAAATGTAAAAATCTGTTTATATTATATCTGTGGTTTCGACGTAGATAGCATTGATGTCTTTGAGACTATGATAAAACTACAGTCGTGTTCTGCAAAAATTATTCAATTTATAATTACGTGCAGTATCATGTATTGATGTGAAAATAAAATTTCAGTTTTTATTTATGAATCAATGCGATATTCGCACTGTCGGTCGGATAGACCAGTGTTGACCACAAGGCGTACGTAACCCCAGCTAGACATTATTTTATTGATAAAAAAAAAAGAAAAATTTAAAATAATGATTAAGCTAATTTATCACGAGTTTTCTGAGGTCTATAAATATCACGGTACATTATTACTTGCGTCTTTTTCGATTTATTGTTATGCCGTTTTCGTATTTTCAGATGAAAATCGAGATTGTTTTTTACTGTATTTTTTGCACCAATGTACTGCACTGTCAACTGCATTTTAAAAGGCGTCGCGTGGACATATAATATCCTGAGGGCGCTAGATCTTCGAATCGTGATATTTGACTTTTAGTAAGGTGTATTTATGCTTAGTACAAAAGTTGCATACAATGTACGGGCAATGCAGCTTCCTTACGAGATTCCAGAAAGCCGCTAGTGAGAGCCAAACAGCAAGAACATCATTAACCTTGAAGCGCTACGACCTTATTGCTAGGTAACCCGCAAACCATCATGGAGTAGAAAGGTGCATATTTAGACCACGCAATTTCTGAAGTAGGGTTCCGCGATCTACGCTGTTGAAAACATTTTTTCATTGAAACTACTTGAAGTGAAATCGTTTACTTCTCTTTATATATATATATATATATATATGACTTAATCCTGAAGAATTTAAAACAACGATGAAGACGTGCTAGGGTGAATCAAGTAGTTAATTATTGGGAAGAAAACATGAAATGTGGCACGCTAAAATTTCCGCTAGCTGTAACCAACTGAACATTAGGGAACGGAGTAGTGGTTTTCTATATATATCCTACAATTTAATCTGAATAGGAGTGTGACGTTATTTCAGCGAAAGAAGTCAATTTAGACGTTTATTATATAATATAATTTGGGGAAGAGAAAACTCAGAATTTCACTAAGAAGGGTGGCAGTGATGTTGTGATATAAAGGAGAATTGTCGGCTGTGAAATTAGCTTTTGCTTTAAATTGAAACAGAAATATATAGGGTTCAGAAAGGTCAATCAGTGTATCCTAAAATGATGCTTGTTGTTATTGATGTCAACCGAATGTACTGAGATAATCGGCTGAAAATTCAACGGGGCAAAATAAATGGCTCACATATTAGCTTAGTTATACAGATTATAGAAATGAAGGTGCTTCATGCTAATCGAGAGCTGACATATCAGAGAAACAAACAAGAAACCGAATAGTCAAGCTAGGAAATTGAAAAGAGGAAGTAAGGTTATCTAGCCTGGCGTAAACTGGTTTATAAAACACAGACAACAGTCGACCAACGTTTTGCTTATCTGATTCATTTTCGTATGTGTCGAAAAATGCACTTCTGTCAGTTGCAGGTACATCGAACGCAATACGTTGCGATCATTTTTTTAAAATTTAGTTTAAACCTATAGTCCTTTAGTTATTTTTTTGAACCCTTAGTTGGAGTAGTTCAGTAATATATTAAGCAATAAGGCTTTATAATCAGAGTCCTTTTTAACGTTAATAAGTAATGCATTATTGATGGGATCAATCTTCAACAAAAGATGTGCAATGAAGTCCAGGACACTAGATAGATACAACTTTTCAATTTTCGTTCTTAAGATGTTTGCACTAGTAAGATACTGTCATCCTGCTATAGGTTTCCTTGCTCACTGTTTTCACTAGTATTCAATGGAGACCACGAGCGTCCACGCCTGTCAAAAACATAGTCGTCGTTAGTCGGTGTTGATTTTCAGCGCTAAACAGTAAATCAGCTTGTAGAATCACCATTCTGGTACCACTAAATAAGCTTCCAGTTGTCGGTACCCAAACGCTTCATGTGAATGTTTACAAAGTTTTGTCTGCTATGAGCGTGTAGTTTTAAAGTTATTAAAATTTTTCGAGACGCTAAATAGCTCCGAAAAAACTAATATTATGTGCTTTGTTAACTTTATTTAGCGTAATACTATTTATCCGCTCTGTAATCCTTTCATCTGAAAAAATACTTTTTGTATTTTGAGTAAGTGACTTTATAAGTGACTTTGTAAGTGACTATATAGATTCTTATATATAACTATAATATAAATTAAATAAGTTCAGCATGAACCGTAAGTCTTCCCCGAGTACAATGGATCTGGATGTTGTTCAAACTTCATGCCTTTTCCAACAGCCGGTTTCTCGATAACGACTACTGCAGCAACATAATGCGATGTCGGTTTCATGATATTTTAGCTAGGTTAGATTTTATGCAGAAATCGAGTAGTGCATAGCACTTACATCTCATATAGTACCAACCAACAGGTAAAGCAAGTGTTATTGACTCTTTTATGTATGACGGATGTACCATCGGCCCGACCGAACACCTTCAAAAAAATATCTGGGAAACCGCAAAATTCTATTAAGAAACACATTTTAAAAACTACAAGGCAACTAAAAAAACACAACTTAACATACACAGTTCAGACCTGGAGAGAGCTAAGAAACTCGCTTTAAATGAGGTTATTACGTAATGTCCACTAGAATCTCCTCTGAAAGATTGGTTTTCCTCAAAGATCCAATTTGAATGGGTCTAGTGTCATTCCATACATTAAACAATTTAGCATTTGCGGGCGGCTAAACGGCTTGTAGAAAACCCAGGCCCTGTCGAATTCGGCCATGCGACACGTACCTGCACCTGCGTGTAAGATGACGAAAGCCTATTAAACGTTTTAAAATTGAATTGCTTAGAACCGCCGGCAAAACGGAGAATGTTCTGTCCAAATGTTTGATCCTTGATTATATATTCAGGTATTCTGTATTAAAGGCTTAGTGCAAAAGCAGTGAAAACTTTGAGACACAAACGTGTCCTAATGTTTAATTTATCCTTTACTTCGTCTTACAATAGAGGGCAATGATAAAGTTATTATATTGTACTAGACAGTTGTTGGTGGAGCGATTTGCTGAGAGTTAGCTCTACAGAAAGAAGTCCACTTCTTTTTTATATAAGTTCGCAGTAAATGCGTTTACGTCTCGTGTTGCGCAGTACTCTTTTTGTAAGGTTTGGCACTGTATTATCTACATGCGGCTCAGGCAGCTAATGGCGTAGTGGGCGTTACTTGTTCGGGCAAGATGAATTGTCTATGTAGGATTTAAAGTTTGTGAAAACAAATTTGCAAAAGCCGCTTTTGACGTTTGACCCATTTTACCGACTACAGAAGCAGCCAGTAACTAGCCGTTTTATTGTAGGCAGCAAAGGTTGTCCCAATTTCTATTTAAACACGGTAAACAATGCTTGACGTTCGTACACCAATCTGCATAATCGCATTCCTTGTAACACTTTTGCATTTTCAGTATTAAAAATTTCTACTATACGCTATACAAATTTTTCTAATCACACACTGTTCCTATCTTGCCGAGAAGCTATTGTGCAAGGACCAATTGTAAGTTATACCAGTTGGGACGATAACATGCGTGTTATATTTAACTTGGGATTCATCGGCTAATTTGGTTGTTCATAGCTTCGCTATGAACGTGGGTAAAGTCTATGTAGTAATGTAAAAAAACGCTCATTTTGCTTTAACATAACAAATAGTATCATTTAGGCCAACTTTACGTCGTTTTCTTGATCTTTTTAGCTTCAATAGCTTTCTACTACTTTCTCATTTGTCTGTTAATCCTACTCACATATACCCATGCTAAAATCTAAATTATATACTTAGGGCATGAACAATTCAACTATCCCTGAAGGCTTCCCCTTTGAGAGTAGCGCAAAGTTGTTGCTCATCTCAGCTCATTCCATATCACTGCCCTAAAATTTTAAGAACCTTAAAATTGTCTTAGCGACGACTGTACTTACCTTTCTGTCAAAAATATTTATCGGTGGTGTTTGTGGCTCATTTGCCAAAAATGGCTAGGATACCCTTTATCAGCAAATCGATATGACAAAAGAAGTAAACACTTTTGCCTCTAGACACATTCGGATTAGTTTTTGTAAAGCAGAATAGCCGTGAAGATTTTCTTACATGTTTTGTAAGACATAAAAGATATATAAAAAGCTACTCATACTGGAAGTTGTTTCCTTTGCGCAAATGGATAAAAGCTATTGTTTCGAAACGTGTGTAGTAAAAATTAGTTGCTAGGGCTTGGCCGAAGAGAACCCTCATATCTTGCTTTTATGTACCGG